CCTCAGCCTCCCAAGTAGCTGGGACTACAGGTGGGCACCACCATACCTGGCTAATTTTTGTATTTTTTGTGGAAACAGAATTTCGCTATGTTGGCCAGGCTAGTCTCAAACTCCTGGGCTCAAGTGATCTGCCTGCCACTGCCTCCCAGATTGCCAGGATTATAGGCATGAGCCACCATGCCCAGACTAAAGCTAGTTTTTGACAGATGAGGCTTCTGAGGTTACTGGGAGTATTCTAGGTCTGACTGTTACCTGATAGATATAATATTATTCTTAAAACTGTACATTTACGTTGTATATACTCTGATATGTGGGATAAATTCCACATTTAAAAGAAACCTGGTAAAGTATATGCCAGCTGTTGATAGTAGTTACCTCAGGGGATCGATGTTGCGGTGGAACTGACTTGTACTTTCAAAAGCAGCTTTTTACAAAGGTTGCTTGAAGCTAATACATGTTTTTGATAGTTTATGAATTGATATATTTAAAATAAATAAAGCTGGCCAGGTGAGGTGGCTCACGCCTATAATCCCAGCACTTTGGGAGGCCAAGGCAGGTGGATCAGTTGAGGCCAGTAGTTTGAGACCAGCTTGGTCAACATGGCAAAACCCCATCTCTACTAAAAATACAGAAACTAGCCAGGTGTGGTGGTGCACACCTGCAATCTCAGCTACTCAAGCTGAGGCACTAGAATCTCTTGAGCCTAGGAGGCAGAGGTTGGAATTAGTCCAAGATCATGCCACTGCATTCTAGTCTGGGTTACAGAGCAAGACTCTGTCTCAAAAATAAAATAAATTAAGTAAAGCTAAGGATTCTCCTTCTCAAGCTTCAGGAATGACCTTGACTAACGAGATTAATTTTAGTTCTTATGATTAAACTTCTTCCATCACCATCAGGTTTAGATTTTGTGTTAGCACTTACATTAGGTAGAAGAAAATATATAAAATTTTACACATAAGCAATGTGAAAATAATGTCAGAGTGAGAGTTAGTGCTAACGATAGGTATACAAATTCATATACTTCCCAAGGTACCATTAACATTTTTTGTATGTGTAAAATGTTTTCATGGAATAGAGAAGTTTTGAATATAAATACTTCATGTTTTAAAACTGACATTTCTGCTTTTATGTTCAAATGTGAATGCATCAGTACAGAGAAAACTAGGGATAGGCCCTGAGTGACAACCGCCAGTTTAGGAATCATCTTGAAGGAAGAATAAAGGAACAGTGTGTACAAAGAAATAAGAGGGGCCTAATGTTGTAAGGTCAGAAAAGAATATGGTGAGGAGGGGCTAGTTGGAGATCAGAGTGGGGCAGGCCGGCAGGAAACAGACCCTGAAGAGACTGATGTGCTGTGCTAGGGCTTTTATATTTATTTATATCCTAGAGACAAAAGACCTATAGATCTAGTTAGCCAGCAGGACTTAATGGCATGGCAGTGGGCAGACGGTCTTGGGCCACTAAAGGCAGGGAGGCCAGTGAGAATGTCACCACTGTGGGCTGAAGACCTAGTAGGAAAAACAGGAATATAGTTAACCTGAAATTATGCTTGTTTGATTGGAGAGCTCATTTCTTAAGGACAAATAGGGGTTCTTTTGAGCAGTAGATAGTGGGTTTATTACTGAATGCTGTCCTCAGATTGTGACTGTATCTCATTCACCAGCAACCAAAAGTTTGGCCTATATTGGCTTAAGGCGGGGGGGAAAGGTTCAAATAAGTAAAAGTCCAGAAGTTGGGCTGGCCCCTGCTGGGTGAGATTCGGAGCCTCACAGTGTCATTCAGGCTTCTTCTCTGCCTCTCTGCCAGCCTCTTTCTGTCAGCCTGGTTTTGAAGCCAGCCTCTTACAGGGTAGAGGGAGTGACAGTGAGCATGCTCCTGGGATCATATTCTCATACGCTGTCCAGAGGTCATGTTCCCTCCCTACATTCCCAGCGAGAACCATGAAATCTGCATTTCTGATTGGTCCCATGCCTCTCTCTTAGCCAGTCTTTGTGGCCAAATGGATGATGGGGGTGGCATTAATCCCATGCAGACACATTGTGGTTCTGGTCATTTAGGCACTGTTAACAAGAAGGCGTGGATGGCAGGGGCGTGTGCTCAGCGGCTCACAGAGCCTGCAGTGACTCCTGATGTATTTCCAAGTGGTGTGTGCTGCTTCTCCCCCAGTTTCCAGTCTCCCTTTTGATAAAGGGAGCATGGGAAAGTCAACCAGACCTCTGGCCTTACGTGACCTCACTGTAGTGTCTAGAAAAGTACCTGATAATAGAGTGTCATGCTGGGGAATTCCTTAGTTATATCTGCTTTTGGTACTTGATAAATATGTTCTTTCTTTAAGATTGGGACTTTCTGAGTATTTGACACATGCCTAATATTTTATGTTTATGTATAAGCAGACTTTTAATAGTACAGGATAGGAGACTAAAAGGGTAACAATAAGTGAAATAGAAATATCTTGGCTCTTTGTATACTCGTTCCTTTAAAATGTGATTAACAGTTTAATGGTGTTGAATTTTGGTTAAGTTATGCTACATTAACACAATACATTAAGCCATAAAAAAATAGCATGAGGGACCTCCCAAATAGAAATAAAATGAACAGAATGCAAACAAGCGTGTGCAGTATACTATTGTTTATGTAGCTTTTACTACAGATTTAATGTTTCTTTTTTTGAGACGTAGTCTTGCTCTGTTACCAGGCTGGGTACAGTGGTGCAGTCTCGGCTCACTGCAACCGCCGCCTCCTGGATTCAAGCGATTCTTCTGTCTCAGCTTCCCTAGTAGCTTGGACCACAGGCGTGTGCCACCACGCCTGGCTAATTTTTGTATTTTTAGTAGAGATGGAGTTTCACCATGTTGGCCAGGATGGTCTCGATCTCTTGACCTCGTGGTCTGCCCACCTCAGAGATTTGATGTTTCTTAATGAATTCAACCTAAAATTACAAGGCAAAACAGAACTTGTATACAAAATTTATAATGTGATAAAGTCACTCTAACAACATTGTTGAATCGTAAGTAATGTCGAACTGATTTATACATTTTTTATTCTGTCAAAAGTTAAAACAAGAAGCGAACTCTCCATCCCCACAAATTTACCGTGGATAAGTTGTCCAGGCTCAAACTGCTGTTCCAGCAGCATTTGTCATACCTTGATACACAGTGCAAAGGAAATTTCCTTATCTCAAAATCTATTTGTGTACTCAAGTTAGTGAGGAGCTTTCAGTAACTTTCATTTCTTAGTATTAATTTGCAATATACTGACATGCTAGAAGGCAAATATCAAGATACAAATTTAACAGAATTCTATAAATGCCTTCTAACCAAATAATATGTTCAGTTAAACTCATGCTTGTGGATTAATACCAGCATTTGGTAGTTTCCATTTGTATGAAGACATTTTCAAAGATGAAATACGTCGGCTTTTATTATAAATGTGCATTAACAGGGAATTAGGTAAGAAAAAGAAAAGACGTGTAGATGGGAAAGGAAGAAGTAAGACCATCTGTAGTCACCAATGACATGATTTCGTGTAGAATATAAAGAAAACCCGAGGAATGAAATTAAGAAAACAACTCCATTTGCAGTAGTATCAAAAAGAACATAATACTTAAGAAAAAATTTGACAAAATTGTAAGACTTGTGCACCAAAAACTATAAAGCTTCATTGAAAGAAATCAAAGAAGACCTAAATAAATAGAAAACATCCCATGTTTGTGATCAGACTATTAAGATGGCAATACACTCCAAGTTGTTTTACAGTTCCTATTGGAATCCCAGCTCTCTACATCACAGAAATAGACAAGCTGACCCTAAAATGTGTATGGAAATGCAAGGGGCCTTTTTGTGACTGAATATGTGGGGTAGGTGGAACCACAGTAGTGTCCGAGTTAGCCTTGGTCGTTTAACTTGGTGCAATTTCATTTCAGGAGAATGACATCTTCCTGGGCTGGGAAAAAGGAGCTTATAAGAAATGGGGAAAGAGTAAGAAAAAATGTTCAGATCTAACTCTAGAAGAAATGAAAAAACAGGCTGCTGTCCAGTGTCTTCGATCTGCTTCTGATGAAGTAAGTTTATATTTTATTTCTAACACTTAAGAGAATAAAAGGGGTGTTTTAACTTTACAGATATGACAACCTGACCTCCAAAAACTGGGAAAACAGCCGGGCGCGGTGGCTGAAGCCTGTAATCCCAGCACTTTGGGAGGCCAAGGCGGGTGGATCACGAGGTCAAGAGATCGAGACCATCCTGGTCAAAATGGTGAAACCCCGTCTCTACTAAAAATACAAAAATTAGCTGGGCATGGTGGCGCATGCCTGTAATCCCAGCTACTCAGGAGGCTGAGGCAGGAGAATTGCCTGAACCCAGGAGGCGGAGGTTGCGGTGAGCCGAGATTGCGCCATTGCACTCCAGCCTGGGTAACATGAGTGAAACTCCGTCTCAAAAAAAAAAAAAAAAACTGGGAAAACAAACTACTTGTTTATCTTACCAAGTAACATGAACCATATCACTTTTCCTTTATGGTATTTTTCCATATTTTCTGAAGTTTTATAAGCTTTTATATATGTGCTACTCTTAAGAATATACACAAAAATTAATATCCTTTTTTCAGTTTGACTATTTCATCCTGTTATTACATTGTCTTTATTATTTTTAGTGGCTAAGTTACATTTCATCAAATAATATTTCAACAGCAGTATAATATTATAATCTTTATTACTGGATGTTTACCTTGCTCTTGATTTTTTTTTTAAAAAAAAGACAGTGTCTCTGTTGCCCAGTGCAGTGGTGCAATCTCAGCTCACTGCAACCTCTGCTTTCCAGGTTCAAGCAATTCTTGTGCCTCAGCCTCCCGAGTAGCCAGAATTACAGGTGCGTGCCACCACACCTGGCTAATGTTTTTGTATTTTTTAGAAAAGACGAGGTTTCATCATGTTGGCCAGGCTGGTCTCAAACTCCTGATCTCAGGTGATCTGCCCACCTGGCCCAGCCCACTCTTGATTTTTTTGTTATGCTGTCTAGAATATTTTATGTGTGATTTTTCTGGGGTCTGTATTACTACATTTGAATACATTTGTAGAAGGGAATAGCAGTTCAGACACTTCAAAAGCACTATATTGGCATATGATGTATATATTTTTGTTTTTAGAAAAATTATGATCATTTTATTTTATTTCATGTGTTTCTCATGTCTTTCAGTTTCCTAAAATAAAAAAATAATTTTACAGTATCATCTTTTGCAGTTAATATTATGAATTCTTATTTTATTATTCACTGTAAGAGGTAATCTTTGAGATCATAACTACCAAAAGAATTATTTTGCTTTGACTGCTGTTTGAGACAGTATGGGTTAAGTACCTTTATGATACAAGGCCAAACTGAGGGAATTCTGACCTCCAGAAGCTAATTTCCTGAACTAATTGTTGAATGGTCTAGCGTTGGGATAATTGGCTTTCTTATCTTTGACAGTCTGCAGAAGTTTGTTCTGTCTGGCTGCCACTGATACAAATGATTTTTAATGTTTATTTGTTTAGTGTTTCCCACAATTATCTCTGAGGCCAGGAACAGTGGCTCACGCCGGTAATCCCAACACTTTGGGAGGCCAAGGGGGGCGGATCACCTGAGGTAAGGTGTTCAAGACCAGCCTGGTCTAACGTAGTAAAACCCTATCTTTACTAAAAATACAAAAATTAGCTGGGCATGGTGGTATATGCTTGTAATCCCAGCTACTCGGGAGGCTGAGGTAGGAAAATCACTTGAACCTGAGAGGTGGAGGTTGCAGTGAGCCAGGATTGTGCCATTGCACTCCAGCCTGGGTGACAGAGCCACCCCCCACCAAGAAAAAAAAAAAAAAAACAAATTGTCTCTGAAAGCCTGACTCCCCTGGCCATGTACTCATGATACATTGTGTATACCTCAAATAACATGGCCCTCACATCCTAAGTTGCAGTTATTCATTTGACTGTGCTCACTGGGCACAAGGACTGTGAGTTACTGATCTTTTTTATCTTCTGTTGCATAGCACAGTGAGTGCTTATCACATAAAAGGTACTGATTTTTTTTTTTTAATGAATCTAACATTCATTTTTTAAAAGGCCTACCCTTTCATCCAATTCTTTTTTCTCTTCCCAGCTGTTTGCTTCTCCTTCACCTCTGATTTTTTAACTTCTTAATTTCTCTCTCTCTCTTTTTTTTTTTTTTTTTGAGATGGAGTCTCACTCTGTCACCCAGGCTGGAGTGCAGTGGCACAGTTTCAGCGCTCTGCACTCTCCGCCTCCCAGGTTCAAGCAATTCTCCTGCCTCCGCCTCCTCAGTACTTGGAATTACAGGTGCCTGTCACCATGCCCAACTAATTTTTAAATTTTTAGTAGAGATGGGGTTTCACCATGTTGGCCAGGCTGGTCTCAAACTCCTGACCTCAGGTGATCCATCTGCTTTAAATGTGTTGGGATTATAGGTGTGAGCCACCACACCCCGCCAACTTCTTAATTCTGAAGCCGCTGCTTCATACAGCATGGGATAGGAGTTTGGAAGTTACCCCTTATATATACAGCTATCTTAGGCACCATTTCATTACAACAATTAGGAACATAATTAACCTAGTTTAAGAAAAAATAGAAATATATGTAAAGGATATAGGGATATCTCACTGAAGCCAAGTACTAGAAATATAGCAGTCTCAAGAGAGAGCTGAACTGGGAATTATGTGGTAGATAAAGTCACTTTCTGTAATAACCAATGTACAATCTTTCATTTGCGTCTGTACCTGAGTTGGGTCATTCCCTCTCTGTCTGAACTCTGGCTTTCTCTGCTTTAGCACATGGTAAAGAATGGCCATTCTAGCCTCCAGCCCAGCATAACTATGGAACTGTACTGCCCAACACCATTCAGCTAGAGAGAGAATCTGATTGGCTGGGCTTGAGCCAGGTGTCCACCCACGATTTGATAAGCCATGGTGAGGAAGCAGGGCTGCCTGGAGGTTCATCACTTCAGCAGGGGCTGTGAGTGATGTGCCCAGAGAAAACTCTGCAGAGAAAACTGTGTGGTTAAAATGGTGGGTTTTTTGGGTTTTTGTTTTGTTTTAATTTAAAAAATAGGGACAGAGTCTTCCTATGTTCCCCAGGCTGGTCTTGAACTCCTAGGCTCAAGCCACCCTCCCATCTCAGCCTCTCAAACTGCAGGGATTACAGGCCTGAACCACCATGCCTGGCCAAAATGGTGTTTTCTTTATGACACTGAAGGGATTAAATTGATAATGTAATTTATAGATTGATAAAGTAATTTAGAGCTTTTAAAGGAATTCAGAATACAATTTTTTTTTTTTTAAACAAGTGAAAAGTTAATTCAGGTCAGTTATTTGAGCAAAATCCAAAGAAGCTGCTGAGTTACAGTCAGAAAGAAAATATGGGTAGTGCATTTCAAACTGGGAGAGGATCTTATTTCTTTTTTGGACCAAAGTTGCTGAGAAATGAGCCTAGCCTTTGACTCACGGTTAAGCTGAGGAAATGACAGGGCAGCCGAAGTCAACTGTGAAAAAAATGAAAAGTATATGAGTAATGCAAGACCCTTCTCCTGTAGCTTGTTAATTTGCATGTAATTCATACTAACTGAGTATGTTGTGTAATGTGCATAACTTAGTATGCGGTAGAAACAGTAAGGGAATGGTTGTGGCTTAATAAGATCTTTGATTCTTTAGGTTATTGCTTTGGAAAAATGCTTTCCTTTGCCTGGCTGTCATAGGCGGCATTTTTATTTTCAACTCCAATAAAGCATATTTGTACTTTCTTGCTCTTTCCTTCTCATTTTATTTAAAAAAAAATTGTTGGATTGCTTTTTCTGAACAGTGATTTTTAAAATTTTAACAAATTAAAATTAGTTGAGGAAGTGAATGTGCCAGGCATGACCAGATGCTCAATCATTACTTATGGAATGAATGAAGAGAGTCTTCAAGTCTCAGTCCCTGCTCCAGAGCTACGTGCTGTTGTTTGTGCATCAATCTGTAGATCCCTTAAATCAGGTGTCCGCAAGCCCCTAGCCATGGCCTGTTAGGAACTGGGCTGCACAACAGGAGAAGAGCAGTGAGCAAGCATTCCTGCCTGAGCTCTGCCTCTTGTCAGATCTGCGGTAACATTAGATTCTCAAAAGAGCAGGAACCCTATTGTGGACTGAGGATGTGACGGATCTAGGGTGAAAGCTCCTTATGAGACTCTAATGCCTGAGGTGGAAGTTTCATCCCAAACCCCATGCCTGCCTGCTGGGTCTGTGGAAGAATTGTCTTCCATGAAACCAGTCCCTGGTGCCCAAAAGGTTGGGGACCACTGCCTTCGACCAGCTCACTGGCCTCTTGGGGAGTCAATGAAAAGAACCCTCTTTAATTATTGCCTGCTGCAATAGAAAGAATCAAATGTGTGGCAGTTTATGAATGGTAGGCCATCTGTGTGTCCCCTGGGTTTCTTTTTATTATCTGTCTATTGGCTTCAGTGGAAAGAAAGGAGCAAAGAGGACCTACATCGAAAATTATAATGCAAAATTTTATTTTATGCTTTTGTCAGGAATGTTTGCATATAAGTATGCTCATTTCCTGAGGATCGTCACGTTGGTGGTACTGTGTGTGCTGTGTTTTCCCATCTAGTCCAAACGCCCTCTTAAAAGCGCTTCTCAGTACAGTATTTTAGACAGTCACTACCGATTGGTCACAATTAAAAACCCTAACAATTCAACTTTATAATCTGGTAGGTTTATAATCTACTAGATTAAAATGCTAATGGCAATTACAAGACAATAATATAGGTTATTATATTAGATAAAAGGGTAGGTAGGAAGCAGTGGGGTTATGCATTACATGTGAGATGAATTAGTTTCTCATTATGTCCATGTGTGTATGTGACTGTTACAGTTAGCAATGTGAATTGTTTCTATAAAAGCATCTGTAGCTCTCAGACTATTCACTGGTGTCATGGTATGAGGAGAATGGCTTCTTCTCTGACATCACTTAGGTACTTGTGGTACTCTATGGTGCCTCCACTTTATCCTGTAACAATTTGTGCCCCACATTATAGCACACCTC